AGGGTCTGGGGGACTTTGAGGTCACATGTCCCTTATCTCATCTCTACCCTTTTTCTTCCATCCCCACTGTAGGGCAGTAAATGTTTCATCCCAAATAGCTTAGGGAGTCTATTAGGATGTTAATGTGGATATTGTAGAGTCCCCTCCCCAACATAATTGTCTGTCTTGGCTCCCACCACCCCCAGAGGAAGGAAAGATCTACTCTTTGGTAGTGAACGAAACCCAGCTGGACCAGCCACGTTCCTACACAGTTCAGCTGGCCCTGAGGAAGGTGTCCCGTTGCCTGCCTCACCTACGTGTGGCCTGCATGGCTTCCAACCAGAGCAGTACCCTCTACATCACAGGTAAGAACCACCTGCCTTCCTCTCAGTTCCCCAACCTTGGACAGACCCGCCAAATACTGATACCCCTCACCCTTATTCAAGCTCTTCGGTGAACCCTTTAGGGCACCCTAGTGAAAAGATGTGTTTAGGTTCCCAGGCATCATAGCTGATGCATTTCTAGTGGGTGTGAGACTCCCTGGATCTTGGAGTTTTTGTCCCAGGTGGGGCTTTATCCCTAGGAAATGGGTGCCCAAAGCTGCTGAGCTGAGGGCTCCTGACCCCCCAGACCAGGGGGGAGTGTATTTTGAGGTGCATACCCCAGGGGTGTATCGTGATCTCTTTGGGACCCTTCAAGCCTTTGACCCCCTGGACCAGCAGATGCCGCTTGCTCTCTCACTGCCAGCCAAGGTAGGATCCTGGAGGGATGGGGCAGACCAGAGGGGTGGGGCTTTAGGGATTGGAAGGTACTGAGGGTTTGAAATATGAGCAGGAATCAAATGATTTATCAGGAGGGACAGGGGACCCAGGGAGAGGGCTAACATAGAGGGCATGGCCAAAAGAGATTAGCTGGGAATGGCATGTTAGTGGTTGGGAGATTACAGAGCTCAGAATTCCTCTGGAGGGAACTGAATGCCCACCTCCCATTTCTAACTTACCTCCTAGATTCTTTTCTGTGCTCTTGGCTACAATCACCTTGGCCTGGTGGATGAATTTGGCCGAATATTTATGCAGGGAAATAACAGATATGGGCAGCTGGGAACAGGGGACAAAATGGACCGAGGGGAACCTACACAGGTAAGACTATTTCCCAGAAACTCCCTCTTCCTTCAGTTCCCTAACCCCTGGATCTGTGTACTTCTCCAATTTCCATAGAATCCACTTTCTACTCCCCAGGAAAGTTAAGCCAGTCAGTACGTAATGCCTGTGGGACTTTTGCAGGTTTTACCCAGGGTTGGCACTGTGAAGTCGGTTCTGTGCAGTGCACGCTGTTAAGTGCAATAGGGATTTAGTGAAGGGGTGGGGGCTAGAGTAACTAGAAGAGGTGAGATGTGAGCAGGGCCTCGTGGGTTTTAGTATTCAGGTGGGGTAGGAAAAGACATTCCATGGGGATAGGGGCGGGGAAAAAGCTTGCATGTACCTGGGACATTGACAAGACTGGCCTGACCAAAGCACAGAGGGAGCATTAGGAATCAGTGAGATATGGGGTGGTATAAGTGAGCACAAGCCTGGAGAGGTAGAGATTTAGGGAAGAGTTACTGCAAGTTCTGGAGCAGAAGGCAGTCCCCAAGGGGTGACTGATAACATGTCAGCTGGCCTTAGTGCACAGGAGGGAGAGTGGAAGCCCACTGGGAGGCTGTTGACTGATGTCAGCAATTGAGACAAGGGCCTGGGGCTAGTACCACAGCAGCAAGAATGGAAAGGAATGAATGTAGGGGATGTTTTGGAAGATAACGAACAGGTCCTCAAAACCCATTACATGTAAGAAGAAGGATATAAGACAACGCTGGCTCCGGAAGAAAGATGTTATCACCAACAAACATGAGATTTGGAAAGGGATGTTGGTTTGAGGAAAAAGAGTGTGAATTTGGACTTTCTGCAGTGAGAGTAAAACACTAAATTGGAAATGTCTAGCTGGCAATTAGATTCCAAATTGGAACAAGGTTGAAAGAACAAAAATAGAGATAGAGGAGCAACTGTGGGCAGTACCCCCATTGTAGGCAGGGGGTGACGAAGAGATGCTTCTGAGCTAAGAGGCACACCCCTCTAACGCCATATCCTAGAAGCCACGGGAGCAGGAAGCTTCAGACAGGGTGGGTGGAAGGGTGGTTAATGGTGACAGTGTGACAACACTGTAGAAGTAAATTTACTGACATGGTGGTCATGCAATATTTTTAGATGAAAAAACATTTATGAAATGGTTTACAAAGTACATCCCATTTTTGTTTAAAAATACATAACTCATGTGTTTGTTTAAGCAATAGTTAAGACTATCTAGCAAGATGTTAATGGTGGTGGGATTTCCGGTGATTTTTTAATTTCTGCTTGCCAATATTTTGTAAGTTTCCTATAATGACCATAAATTACTTATCTGTGTCTTCAGAATTAAAGCACTAACAGTGTCAGGAGAATGAGCGTGCAGGAGAGGCCCTGGGATTTAGCATCTGGGAGGTCAAATGCCTTTGAAGAGAGCGTATCAGTAGCGTAGTAGGGAGAGAAGCCAGATCACAAGGAGGTTCAGGAAAGACTGCCTGTGGTAAGGAACAAGAATTTGGTCAACCTCAGAGTGGTCATGTAGCCAACCATGCTGCTTAAAAGAGAGAGATAGGAGGCAGCTGGCATCAGATGGAAATGTTTTCTTGAAATAGGGTTGCCATTTTGGAAGAGAATGATGTGACAAATTGAAAATGCTAGAAAAGGAAGGTCCTTCCTTGGGGGTACTAACCTGGAATTGCACCAGGAGGGAGAGGGGCCTTAACCCTGGGGAAGAAGAAGGCTAGTCCTCCCCCGAGGCTGGAAGGCAGGATGAGAGGACTGGCACAGACACTTGGGCTGAGAATGAGGGGCTAGATAGCAGGCCCTGGCCTCAGGCAAGGGGCTTATTTTCTGGGGAGCAAAGATGAGGTACAAACAGAAGTACGAAACCCCACATGGCCAGACTCTTGGGGGCTGCAGGGGTCGGCAGGGCAGACCTCTTCCTTCCCTAGTTTACATTCTGCCTGAGTCTTCCAGTCACCCTTCTCAGGCCTGGGTCCCCCAGTCCCTTGGTGTCTTCCACTCAGGGACCCTGGCCATGTATCCTCAGGTACCTTATCTGCAATGTCCCATTGCCCTGTGGTGCGGCCTCAACCACTCCCTGGTGCTGAGCCAGGGCTCGGACTTCAGCAAGGAGCTGCTGGGCTGCGGCTGTGGGGCTGGGGGCCGCCTCCCCGGCTGGCCTAAGGGAAGTGCCTCCTTTGTCAAGCTCCACATCAAGGTCAGAGCAGGGTCAGACACATGGGCAACCAGGGGAGGCAACAGCAATAGAGCCAGGTAGCCCACAGGGCTGTAGCTGGGACTCCTGCAGGGACCCAGGGGTCCCATTACCCCAGCACCATCCCACCTCCCTTTCCTGCCACGCAGCACAGCTCTCTCCCTTAGCAGACCCTGCTGGCCTCATCCGACCTCACATGACCCTGGGACTTAGCCAGCTGTAGCTCACTTGCTGGCTCAGGGCTGGTCTGAGAGGGAAGAACATAACAGGCGGGTTAGCCCGAGCTCCCTGGGACCCCTGCAATGACAGGCCCACTCAGCCACGCCTCTTCTCTCCTCCAAGGTCCCTTTGTGCGCCTGCTCCCTCTGCTCCACCCGAGAGTGCCTCTACATGCTGTCCAGCCATGACATCGAGCACAACCCCTCCTATCGGGACCTGCCAGCCAGCAGGGTGGTGGGGACTCCGGAGCCCAGCCCAGGGGCCGGAGCACCCCAGGACCCTGGGGGGGCGGCCCGGGCCTGCGAGGAGTACCTCAGCCAGATCCACAGTTGCCCTACATTGCAGGACCGCATGGAGAAGATGAAGGAGATCGTGGGCTGGATGCCCTTGATGGCTGCACAGAAGGATTTCTTCTGGGAGGCCCTGGACATGCTGCAGAGGGCTGCTGGAGGGGGTGGCCCAGGCCCTCCACCCCCTGAGAGCTGACCCCTCTCTCCTAGCCTCACCCCTGGAGGGAGTCTGGCCCTGGGCCAGGGGCTAAGGAGAGCTGGAACGGTAGCAATGAATACTGTGTGTGCATGGGGTGGGGTCATGGGGGGTGAGGACTGCCAGACATGCCAGGGTAGGGCAGGAAACTGTTTTGTAAAATGTTCAGGGGGCTGCCCAGGAGGGGCCCCCAACCTGACTATCATGGACAAGAGATTTGATGGACAAATAGAATAAAAGGCTGAAGCGAGGCCCAGTTTGGAAGCCTGGGGCCTGGGAGGGACGTTGGGCAGGGGCAGGTGGGTGAGGGAGGGCAGAATACAAACTGCTGTAGCTCTCAGTTGTTGCAGAGCTGAAGGCACCTGAACCCTCCAGCTTCACTGTCCCCTTCCAAGAGGCCACCCAGCCTTTTTGACTTGGAAGTCCTGGCCCCACCTTCTGGAACAACTCTGTCAGCCTATACTACTTGGATCCCCTGCTTGGATCCTCTGTCTACCAGACTTATCCCATCGTGGAGTGACCACTTCCTTCTGACCCCAGAAAGCATCCCACCCATTTTCCTCATTCCTGTGTTGTCAACCCTGCTCTGCTGTTACCTCCTGGGCATGGTCTCATTTGTCCTTTCCCCCTGACTTTTTCTGCCTCTTCCTCAGTTACAGGGACATTCCCTTTATCCACATGCCATGCCTCCCTGCCCCTCTCCTGTACCTTCAGATATCTGGGAGAGAAAACGAGTGAGCAGAATTCTTTCTCCTTGGCCTAGCCTGGCCCAGGTGTGGAGAGAAGGCAGTAGTGATTTGAAGCAGAAAACAAGCTGGGGTCGGGGTGGCCCGGAAGGGGGTGAGTGATTAGGGATCGAGAGTCTAAGGAAGCACTTCTTCTGGTGCCCAGGAAGCAGGGAGTGGGGAGGCTCCGGGGCTGAGGGAGCCTCACAAGGCCCCGAGGCTTGTATTTGCAGGGTGTTCGGGGGCACTGCACAGAGTAGGGTTCCAGATGACAGGACTTGATTCCTGGATTATGGCCTCTGCCCCTCATTGTTCCACACCCCCCCCTTAGGTCAATATTGATGTGTCCTAGACCTAGAGAGGTCCCTGGACTCACCACTGTCCCAGCTCTACTCTCCCTGTCCCGCCTTCCCCGCCGCCCGCCCCACTGGCCAGTCCCCACGCCCACACACCCCAGGCTGCCTCATCTGGCACTGATTATCCTGCTGCTGCTGCTTGCCGCTGCTGAACTCAGCTGCTGCCTCTGTATAGAGGACCCCAGCGCCTGCCCCCCGGCCATGCTGCCTGCTGCCACAGCCTCCCTCCTGGGGCCCCTCCTCACTGCCTGGGCCCTGCTTCCTTTCGCCCAGGGCCAGACCCCCAACTACACCAGGTAGGTCTCTTGGCATCTTCCAGATAGCTCGAGTGAGCTTCAAAAACCCTGATTCTTGGGGGGTTATGCCTGTGGATCTTGCTGGTTCTTTTGCTGACACATCACCCCCTGGATTTCCCACTGCCCTACCCTTGTCTGGCCCCATAGTCCTCTCCCTCTGTTGCAAGATCATGGTCTCTAGCAGGTCATCTCTGCTCCCATCCTTCTACCCTTTGTCCTCTAGCCTCTTAAGTCTTCCCATCACCCAGACCCTTGGCCCCCCACAGACCCTGAGAGAGCCAAGACTGAACTTGCCTGGCAGCTGGACATCTGGATTCCAGGAAGGAATTAGAGATTGGGGGGGGATGAGGAGGCAGCAAGTGGAGACTTGGGAATCAGACACTCAAGCAGTTAGCTGGAACAGGACAGGGCAAAGGGTGGGAGCTCAGGGACCTGGCCTCCAGGTTCAACTTGAGGGCCATCGCTGCTGCTCTTCCCTCATCGGCCCCCCCACACCGCCTCGTGGCTGTGTCCACATCTGGAAGTAGTTAGGCGGCTCCTGTCCCCGACTGCCAGGCAGGGGGAGGGGGGAGAGTGAGGAAGGGGGGCTGAGGAGGATTCTGGGAATTCCTCTTGGGGTGGGGGTGGGGACCAGGAATTTCTCTTGGGGTGGGGGTGGGGACTTGGGGGGTTGGAGGTATGGTCCAGTTGCTGGTCTCACTTTCTCCTTATCCTTTTGCTGGAGTCTTTCCCACGCCAATTCCATCCTGGCTGGCTGAGGCTGCCCTGGGGCCCTGAAGACCTTTCTCCCTCCTCCCCCTGGCTTTCTTCACCGAGCCTCTGTCCCCATTACCCCATCCCAATCTCTTCACTCCTGACTAATCCCTCTTCTGTCCTCCAGACCCGTGTTCCTGTGTGGAGGGGATGTGACTGGGGAGTCAGGTTACGTGGCAAGTGAGGGTTTTCCCAACCTCTACCCCCCCAACAAGGAGTGCATCTGGACAGTGACGGTGAGAAGCCCCTTCTGGTCACTACCCCTTATCAAAGTCTCAGAGGCAAAGGCCTGACTGCTAACCTACCCACCAGCACCACCTTCTCAGCCTGGGGTTGGTCTAGGTCCTCTCTCGTCTCTGGTCACTGAGGGCATCAGTCCCACAATAACAAGTCCCTCGCACCTTAGCTCTTCACCTTGCACCCAGATTCTGAGTCTCCACTCCCAACCTTCTAGCCCTCTCTAATCTCTCCAAAGAACTCACATCTTGTCCCTTGCACAAGCTGCAAGCTGGGCTGCAGAGACCAGGCCCTCTGCTGTGCCCCTGCCTGGGGAGGGGGAGATGCCCTCTGCCTAGGCTGTGTGGCCTGATTTTGTGGGTCCTGTCAGGTCCCTGAGGGCCAGACTGTGTCCCTCTCCTTTCGAGTCTTCGACCTGGAGCTGCACCCCGCCTGCCGTTACGATGCTCTGGAGGTCTTTGCTGGGTCTGGAACTTCCGGCCAGCGGCTCGGACGCTTCTGCGGGACCTTCCGGCCGGCACCCATAGTTGCCCCCGGCAACCAAGTGACTCTGAGGATGACGGCGGACGAGGGAACGGGAGGACGAGGCTTCCTGCTCTGGTACAGCGGGCGGGCCACCTCGGGCACTGGTGAGACCTCCCTCACCTCCGCCGTCCCCTCTCCTGGTCCCGCCCCGGCGCAGGCCCCGCCCCCAGCCCTAACCTCCGCCCCAGACTCCCCGCGCCCGAGAGCCTAGGGCCCCCAATACCTCCCTTACCCACGTTCCTCACTAACTGCCCCTTCAGTCCCTCCTCCCCGTCTTCTCTCCCCCCTCCCGCACCCACCCACCCCCTCTTCCAGGCCCCCCCCCAGGCGCGAGGCGGAAATGGGTCACCGACCCGCGGGTGGAATGGGCGGCCTGGGGTTACTGGGACGGTGAGTAACTGCCCGCCCCCGTCCACAATCGGGCTCCCTCCGACGGGCGCGAGGGGGCACCCCAGGGCTAGGGGACTGATAGGTTCCCCTGACCCGGAGCCCCCTGCGCCCAGCCCTGGGCTCCCGATTGCGGTCCCATCACCCCCTCCTGGCGGCAGAAGTCTCCCTTGAAATGTTTTAGGCAGGGATTTCCCCAAAGGGGCCTCGGGGGCTGTGCCCCAAGTCCAGGGCACCCTTACAGCGTGGGCTCTCCAGCCTACAAAGGAGACTTTTCTGCCGGGCCGGGGAGATGGGATCTCCCAGGGGAAGAGGCGCGGTGTGGCCGCGGGTCGGGGAGGGACAAGAAGGGAGTACTTCCAGCCAGTTTCTTCTCCCCCTTCCACCGCCACCTGGGCGCCGGCGGTCCAAGAGTTCCCTGAGCCGCGCTCCTCCCGACCCCCTCTCTGCTAACCTACCCCGCTTTCCTCCCCTTCTTCTTGTCCCTTCATCCTGAGACCCAGACATCCTGTCCGGGCTCCCAGCCTAGAGCTCTCCTCAAGCTGACCGAGGGTCTCCACCGCCCCCCACCCCCGCTCCTCTCTCCCCTCCCCAGAGCACCAATTTTGCGGGGGGCGGCTGGAGAAGGCCCAGGGAACCCTGACCACTCCCAACTGGCCCGAGTCTGATTACCCCCCGGGCATCAGCTGTTCCTGGCACATCATCGCGCCCCCAGACCAGGTACCGACCCCCTGCCAGGGTTGCCCTTGGGGACCCAGGCGTTGCCCTCCAGCATACAGCCAGCAAAGATTTATTGAACAACTTTTATGTCCTGAACACTGAGCTTGCGCTGGTGGGCACCAAAACCAGACCCAGCTCCTGCTTGCATGCAAACAAAAAAATGTAAAATTACAAGGGTGTCGAGTCTTAGGAGAGCGAGGTACACGGTACAGCTATAAACTGTGTGGTGCTAGTGGCGGGGGGTGGAGGTCTGTCCCTTGAGAGTGAGTCAGGACTGGACTTTGCCAAGGACCGCCACGGTCGCCCCTGCAGGGTCCCGTGGGTGGGTGTAATCCTCCAAGCTGTGGTGTGAACCTATTAAGGTGGGGGTCCAGAGGGCATGGGTTCAGGAGACGTAGGAGGGGGTAGTGGGGGCTGTTTCCTGAGCCCAGGAGGCGGCGGGGAGGAGGCAGTGAGAGGTGCGGGCGCCGGAGTCCAGCCGCGCAGCTCCGCCTTGGCCTGCCGCCAGGTCATCGCGCTGACCTTCGAGAAGTTTGACCTGGAGCCCGACACCTACTGCCGCTACGACTCTGTCAGCGTGTTCAATGGAGCCGTGAGCGACGATGCCAAGAGGCTGGGGAAGTTCTGTGGCGACACGATCCCAGGGTGAGGGGGCGGGACCTGGGTGGGCGGTGGGTCCCAGCGTCCCCTCTTCCCCAGGTGAGAAAGGGAGGGGACCGCGCAGCAGTTTTGAAGGGTGGGGCTAAGCGAAAGGGGTGGGGTCTGGACCCGTGGGCTGCAAACGGGTGGGCGGAGCAGGTAGCTGCCGGGCAAAGAGGAAGCTTGGCCCCTGGTCTGGGGTCCACAGGCGAGTGGGGCTCTGCGAAGTCGGGAAGTTAGTGCAACTGACGGGAGGGCAGAGGTTAAAAGGCCACCAGACTGGGGAGGGAGCCGCGGTGCACAGCCCACCCTGACACTGCCCCAATGCCCCGTCACCCGCAGCCGCATCTCCTCGGAAGGGAACGAACTCCTTGTACAGTTTGTCTCAGATCTCAGCGTTACCGCCGACGGCTTCTCAGCCTCCTACAGGATCGTGCCGCGGGGCGCTGTCGAGGAAGGGCCAGCCCGGAGCCCGGGAGAGGACGCCCCACTTCTTGGCCCTGGCACTAAACCGGAAACTGGGCCCAAAGTCAAGGCACCCACCAAGCCGCGACTTCCACCTGCAGAGAAACCAGAGGCAACTCCGGTGGGCCCTGGTGAGTCTGGGAAGCGGGAAGAAGGGGGAACAGATTCAAGGGAGCTGTTTTAAAAAGTTCTTCATTCATTTATACAACACTCCCTGTGTCTCCGTGCCAATGGCCGTACTGGGTGCTGAGACCCAAAGCTCGACAGAGCTCTGAACGAATTAAAATCAATAGGCTGTTATGGGGAAAGTGGTCCTTCCTACTTGCTGAGTAGGTCGTCCTCTACAAACAGCACCCCCTTCCTCCTAGATACACCCAGTGTCTCCTGCCCAAAGCAGTGCCGGCGGACAGGCACCTTGCAGAGCAACTTCTGTGCCAGCAACTTGGGTAAGAAAGAAGCCCCTGCCCCTGATTCCAGCTCCTCTAACCACCCCCCATTACTGGTTCCATTTCTGCCCCGGCCTCCTATTCCCTCATCTCTCACCCCCATTCTCCCACAGTGGTGACTGCAACAGTGAAGTCCATGGTTCGGGGCCCAGGGGAAGGTCTCACCGTCACTGTGAGTCTTATTGGTGCTTACAAAACCGGAGGACTGGACCTGCCCTCTCCACCCACTGACACCTCCCTGAAGTTTTACGTGCCTTGCAAGCAGTGCCCCTCCATGAAGAAAGGTAACAAAGATGTGGGGAAATGGGGAGGAGGGGACCTAGCCGCACTAAGATGATTGAGGTGTAGAATGTGAGTGAGGAGATGCCTTAAGACTTGTGGCAACCACAGGAGCTCTCAATCTCTCCCTCTCCTCTCCCCCAGGAGCCAGTTATCTGCTGATGGGCCACGTGGAAGAGAACAGAGGTCCCGTACTTCCTCCAGAGAGCTTCGTGGTTCTCTACCGGCCCAACCAGGACCAGATCCTCACCAACCTAAGCAAGAGGAAGTGCCCCTCCCAACCTGTGCGGGCTGCTGAGTCCCAGGCCTGAGACCCAGGCCAGCTCCAGCCCTAGCCCCAGCCCTTGGGTCCCCTTTCTTATCCAAATAAATGTTTCTTAACTGAGGAAAGGGTCACATCTTCATTTCTATGGTTTAGGGGCCCATCTTGGGGAATTTCTTTTCCTGCTTTCATTCATTTATTCAACAGACATTTACTATACAGAATAATCTTTTAAAAACTAACTCATATCTTGTCACTCCTTTGCTCAAAACTCTCCTGTAGTTTCCCATTGGTCTAAGAATAAAATCCAAAGTCTTACTGTGGGTTCAAGGCTCTAGGTAATCTACATTCTCCCTCCCCCCTCATCTCTTACTATTGTCTCTCTTGCACCGGTCAGTTCCAGTCACATTGGCCACCTCACTTCCCGTTGCTGGTTTCTAGTACACTTCTGGCTTAGGGCTCTGCTGAATTCTCTTCCTAAATCCAGTCAGATCTCGGCTCAAAGGTCTTCCTAGCCACGCATTCATTTGTTCGTTCCAAATGTCAGGCACTGTTTTAAATGAAGATACAACAGAAAACAAAACAAAGTCCCTGCTCTTATGGAGAGGAGAGGACATTCTCCTGGAGGAGAGAGAAACAGTAAGATGTCAAGTAGTGCTATAAAGAAAACAAAAGCATGATAGGAGAACAAAGGGTGATAGGGGTATTGTACATATGATACCGTGCTCCCGGAAGGCTTTCAGATAAGATCAACTTTGTTTTTGCTCCACTGCTAACTGTGTGGCTTAGGGTGAGATTGTTCACCTTCCCCAGGCTGTTTCCTCGTCTGTAAAAGGAGTTGAAGATTCGAAGCAGGGTTTGGCAAATCTTAATTCCCTGTGCAAATGTGAGTGATTTCCCAGGCCCCTTACAGGAAGGAGAGGGACAGGAGACAAGCCTGGGCTGGGCTGAGATCCGAATCCCAGCTGGGAGCAACCTCCGACCAGTACAACGGGAAACAAGCTTTGGTTGCTGCAGAGGCTTCTAGGAGAGCCTGGAGTTGAATTGGAGGAAAAGGGCTTCCTCGTGGGAGATCCAACAATTTGGACAGTCTCAGAGTGGGGAGGAAGGAACAAAGCCCAGCTCGAAACCCCGCCTCCGTTTCTCCGAGTTACTTCAGGGCTAGGGTTCAAGCCAGAGATGCCAGTAAAATTCTTACGCCCCAGGGGTCAAGCCAATCGCGGGCGCCGGGGGCGGGGGCGGTCTGTGTGGTCTTTAAGCGCACCAATTGGCGCGTATTTACGGCGGAAACCAGGCCGCCCTGGCCAATGACAGAGGCCGTACGGCGGAAGTGCAGAATGGACTCTCCGGAACATGGCATCCGTGGTCTGGCCACAAGCTGATTGGCAGATGCTTTGACCACAAGGTCTCACAGCACGAGCGGCCATTCGGAGGCGGGAGCTCAGGGAGGGGTCGGAGACGCAGACAAGGTCTCCCGGAAAGCAGGCGACGTATACGGCAGCTCTGCAGGAGGCCGCCGTAGAGGGCGGAGTCCGGCCAGAGAGGGGGGCGGGAGCCCCGGAACTCCCGGAAGGGGCGGGACCTGAGGTGGGGCGGGGCTTATGGAGATCGCAAGCCGGGCCTGAAGAGAAGGCCGGGGTTGGAAGCTGCGAGGGGCCGGGTTTAGCGGGGTGGGCGTGGCCATCGAGGTGGGGTTTAGGGAGCGAGTCTAAAGGAACCTGGGGCAGAGCTGAAAGAGGGAAGAGTTCGCAAGGCCTGGGTCCTTCTCCGCGGGAGCCCCGTTGAGCGGGGTTCTGAGGCGGCGGCGGTGGCATCAGTCCAGGGCCTGCCCCACGAGCTCATCTTGTCCCCTTTCGCCCCTAACGCCCCCAGCTCTAGACTCTAGGCCCTGTCCCCTGAGCTCTGCCCTCGGATGTCCGACCGCCCAGAGCCTGCATGCGCCGTGGGGCGCCCCAGGACCAGGAGCTGGTGGGCCCGGGGGCCCCTAGCCGGGGGTCCCGGGGCACCCCTCCTCCCTTGGGACCCGTTGTCCCGGTCCTCGTCTTTCCCCCGGATCTAGTATTCAGAGCGGACCAGCGGAGCGGACCCAGGCAGCTGCTGACCCTCTATAACCCCACAGGAACTGCGCTTCGCTTCCGAGGTAAAGGGATGGGCACCTCATGCAAGGGATCTGGGGACTGGCGGCAGGACACTGGAGGGCTGTGTGGGCTCGAGGAATCAGATGGATAGGGTCAAATGTCCAGCTTTGGTGGACTGGAAGAGTCATGTCCAGCCTTGGGGTAGAAGGCAGAGGGAACTCCGGTGACCGACCATGGACAGTCTCTTTGCCTGTCTTTGTACCCCAGTCCTGTGCACAGCACCTGCCAAATACAGGGTGTTTGACGCAGAAGGATACGTGAAGCCTCAGTCCTGCATTGACATGTGAGTGAGTTGAGCCCGTGGGGAGGCTGATGGAAGCCAGAGGTCACTGCCACCTGTTGTCTTAGGTCTGAGACCTTGTCCTCTTTAACATGTTTTCCCCACCCTGTCTGATCCCTAAGGGAAAAGCTTCTGTGGGGGGAGGCCTGGATTTACTTGGATTAGTGCCTCTCACTCACTTCCCCTCAATGGGCCTCTCTCCTACCTTGGAACCAGTGTGATTCGCCACTTGGCCCCCATTCCCAGCCACTATGACATCCAGGACCGCTTCCGCATTGAGCTGTTTGAGGAGGGCGCTGACGGCCGAGTAGTGGGACGCAAGGACGTCACCTCGGTTCTGAGGGCTCCAGCATACCCCCTTGAGCTTCAGGGACAGCCCGACCCGACACCCCACCCAGGGCCTCCTGCTGGGACAGCACCACCCACGGCAAAACACATCCAGGAGAGTGAGTTGGGAGATGGGGATTCTTGAGTTCTGTAGGGAGGGAGGAACTAGCATTACCCTACAGATGAGCTATGTTGGATTTGAAGAGGTCTCTTGGTCAGTCTTTTGCCTTTTGGTGGAAAAATTCCCAGGAGTTGAGATTTTATATCAAGTAAGGGGGGAAAAAAAGACTTTGCAGTTTTTCTGGTTTCTGACTTCTACTTAGAGGAAAAAGTTCTTCCTTTGGTCTAACTGCAGTACTTCCTGTTATGTGCCAGCTCATTTCAGTTCAATAGGAAACCTGTATAGAGCAATTAATGCTGTACTGAGTTGTGTGCTGGATATGGGAGTTAGAGAGAGATCTCTGCCTGTCAGATAGGTGCACAGAAGATGGTTGTGAAGACAGAGTGAATGCTGAGGGACCAGAGGAGAGACAGTTTCTTGTGTTGTACAGCATGCCCCTGGAGGGCAATGAAAAGTAGATACGCCTTCCGGGTTCAGCCTCCTCCCTGAGCCCTTGGGCTGGGCAGCATGGGGGCTGCATCTTCTGATGAGCTTTATTTCTCAGACCCCCACCAGCAACTGGCCACTAGCTCCTTCCTCCTGTTCTTGCTGACGGGGACCATCTCTGTGGCCTTCCTGCTGCTCCCACTCCAGGACGAACTTGGCAGCCAGCTGCCTCAAGTCCTGCATGTCTCCCTGGGACAAAAGTTGGTGGCAGCCTACGTATTGGGTGAGCACAGCCGTGGCTGGGGATCTGGGCCCCAGAGAAAGGGGAGCGTGGGCTGGGGGAGAGCTAATTGAGACCCATGGCTGCTCACATGACCCTGCTCTTTCTTTGTCCCCTCTCCAGGACTCCTCACCATGGTGTTCCTCCGGACCTGAGCCCCCTGCTCAAACCCGCCCCCCCCGGCCTCTGACCTGGGCAGGGACTTGAGGTAGCCACTGTGATGCCCCTACCTTGCCTCAACTCCTCTTTTCCCCTTCGTGCCCCACCCCCCAAAATACCCAGGGATTTGTACTCATTTTCCAAGTTGAATAAAATACATTTTTAAAATTAAAATGAGAAATGTAGGGTACTCGCTCCTATCTTCCCACATCTTTCTCGGTACCCAGACAGTGAAGAGGCCTAGTGAGGAGATAGAAGACCTGGGTTACTCCTGGTGCTGCATCAAAGAAACTGTGTGACCTTGAGCAAGTCATTTCCTTCTACCTCTAAAATGAGGGCATTGGGCAAGTTGATTCTTAAGATCCACTTTAACCCTAGAATAGGATCCTGTTCCTAGTCCAATGTACCTAACCTAAAAAGAGACAAAAAAAAAAAAAAAAAAAAAAAACCACCTAATCCTGCCCCTGCTGTAGAACTCCAGTCTCACCATGTGGAACCGACAGAGCCTCTTGCCAGGGTTGCTTGCCTGTTTACGGTCCCCACAGTCCTCTTCTGCCTTTCTGACATTTTATCTGTTTTTACCTTTCTTTTAAGACTTCAACTCCCGTGGATCAGAAACACCAAGGTCCCTGCCAAGATGGGGGAAGATGGCCTTGCCTGACATAACCCTACCTTAACCAGGCAGGAGAAACTAAGGCTCAGGAACAGAGTAGGATCCTCAAAAGGCAGGCTTCCAGCTCCCCTGCCCCCTCAGCCGTGGGGCCAGTGACACTGGGCAGATTGCTGACTGGGGACAAAGAATTAGCCAGATAATGTTAAGACAGACCCAGTCTGTTACACCACTAGGTTATCAGTTGTTCCAGCTTTACTTTGGGGGCCTTGGGAGCTGTCCCACTACCCTGGGAGTCTTGTCCCTGCCACGCCCAGAGCTTGCTCCAGTGGGATGTGGCCAAATGGGTCTGCAGTCTGTGTCCAGGAGTCTGGGGAGGGCTTGTGCCATGGCCCAGCAAACCCCTCTTGCCAAATTACCCGTGCATGGAGGACAACCATTCACGCTGAACTGGCTGTGCCCAGGTCCCCAAAATGCATTTGAGGTACCACACAGGTTAATGACCATGATAGTATTTGCTGTGAAAAGGGCTTGTTGCCGGTGTGGCGAAGGCTTTCTGAGACACAGCTGTGAAGGGGTGGTATGCAGGTGGGAGGGACTTGGGACACAGACTTTTTTTTTAAGTAGATTTTTTTAGAAAACAATACTGAGCTTATTGCAGTTGGAGTGGGAGTGTATTAAGTTTCCTGTAGCTGCTGTAACAAATTATCACAAACTTCGTGGCTTAAAACAACACAAACTCATTCTCTTACAATTACGGGAGTTAGAAATCCAAAGCGAGTCTTCTGGGGCTAAAATCAAGGGCTGTATTCCCTTGGGAGGCACCAGGGGAGAATCTTATTTCTTTGCCTTTTCCAGCTTCTAGAGGCCATCTGCACTCCTTGGCTTGTGGCCCCTTCTTCCATCTTTAACACCAGGAGTGTAGCATCTTCAAATCTGTGACTCTGACCCTCTGTCTCTGTCATCACACCTCCTTTATCTCTGCCCTTCCTGGCTCCTTTTTAAGGTCCCTTGTGATTACATCCCCCCACTCCTAATCCAGGGTAATCTCCCCGTGTTAGTTTGCTAGGGCTGCCTTAACAGAATGCCACAGACCAGGTAGCTTAAAGAAAAGAAATTTATTTTCTCTCAGGTCTGGAGGCTAGAAGTCCGAGATCGAAGGGTTGCCAGTTTTGGTTTCTTCTGTGGCCTATCTTCTCGGCTTGTAAGTGGCCACCTTCTCACTGTGTCCTCTCATGGTCTTTCCCCTGTGCATGCACATCCCTGCTACCTCTTTGCGTGTCCACCTTTTCTTACAAGGACACCAGTCAGATTGGATTAGGGCCCATGTTAACTTCACAGCTTCAGTTTAACTTCATCACCTCCTTAAAGGCTGTGCCTCTAAGGTCAGCCACTTTCTGAGGTACTAGGGGTTAGGGCTTCAACGTGTGAGTTTGAGGGGGTGCAATTCAGCCCAGGACACTTTCCATCTCAGCCCACACCTTAACTCATCCATCTCAAGGTCACATCCGCAAAGTCCATTTAGTCTTGTTAGGTAACATTCATTCACAGGTTTCAGGGATTAGGATGTGGACACCTTTGTCCAGTTACTCTGTCCACCACAGAGAGCAAACGGACAAGGTGAAGAAGGGCTGAGAAGCCATTTTGGGAAATTTGTTCTGGACTGTATATCAGGGACTATTTCCATAGTCAAGGAGGTTTCTGACCCCAGTTCAGGGTCCTGAGAACCCACCATTCAGGCTCAGGGGGTTAAGAAGGGGGCAGTTGCATCCTGAAACCCAGGAGCTGGAGTACCCCAAGTCTTACACTAAGAGGCCTTTACTTCCTAGTGTCCTAAGGAGCTGGGTGAGCCCTCTCATGCTATGCTGGGAACAGGAGTGGACAAAGTAGCCTGAGAGATGGGCCCTAGGATTTATGTGGCTGCCCTGGGAGTGAGAGCCAGGGCCACAGCCTCCTGAAGCTGTGATTCAAGGTAAATGGGAGGCCGGGCGCGGTGGCTCACGCCTGTAATCCTAGCACTCTGGGAGGCCGAGGTGGGAGGATTGCTTGAGCTCAGGAGTTCGAGACCAGCCTGAGCAAGAGCAAGACTCCGTCTCTACTATAAATAGAAAGAAATTAGCCAAACAACTAAAAATAGAAAAAATTAGCCGGGCATGGTGGTGCGTGCCTGTAGTCCCAGCTACTTGGGAGGCTGAGGCAGTAGGATCGCTTGAGCCCAGGAGTTTGAGGTTGCTGTGAGCTAGGCTGACGCCATGGCACTCTAGCCCGGGCAACAGAGTGAGACTCTGTCTTGGAAAAAAAAAGGTAAATGGGGCCGAGCGCGGTGGCTCACACCTGTAATCATAGCACTTTGGGAGGCTGAGGCGGGAGGATCCCTTGAGGCTAGGAGTTCGAGATCCCATCTCTACAAATTAGAATAATTTTTTGTAGCTGGGTGTGGTGCATGTGCCTATAGTCCCAGCTACTCAGTAGGCTGAGGCAGGAGGATCGCTTAAGCCCAGGAGTTTGAGGTTGCACTGAGCTATGATCATGCCATTGCACTCTACCTAGGGCAACAGAGCGAGACTCTTGTCTCAAAAAAATAAATAAATAAATAATTATTTTAGCTTTGAATTTATGTTTTGGAAGTGTATCTCCATGCCTAAGAGAGTGGGACATTAAATAGCAAGCAAAAGAACACCGTGACAGGTTGAGAGACATGGAAAAAAGAAAAAAAAATTGTTCCTGCTTTTTGAACAAAGGGGCCCTGCATTTTCTTTTTGCACCAGGACTTGCAAACTGTGTGTTATGTAGCCATCTCAGGTCAGGAGAAGGTACAGAGCCAGGGCCCCACCTCATGGTGGTCTTTAGAGAACAGGGCCCTTCAGTACTTCCTTAGGCACTTTCCTTAGGTGACAGGACCAGCTCAGTTTCCCCATGGAGACAGCATTCTCATGTGCATCCTCTCTGGTCCATTTTGTCCACCCCTTCCCTGGGGCTGAAGGGAAGGATGATGGGGTGGGGGTGAGGGTGAGGAGGAAGCAAGAAGGTGCTTATGAACAACCAATGTCACCAGGTGATTTATTGACATCCAAACCCCACACCCTTGCCACCACAGACCACCTGTTGGCCATAAGGCTAGGAGAGCTGGCAAGGTCCCAGGGCCTAGCAAACCTTTCAGAGTGGTCTGTAGCTACGAAGGACCCTGCTCCTGAAAGGGGGAGGGGCTGTGATTCACTGAAGGGATGCTGCTCCCTGGTTAACCCACAGACTGACCCTCACTGATGGAAGGACCACTCACCTACATTGCAGGGCCAGGGATGTGTGGGTGTCTGCTCCAGACGGAAAGGGCTAATGAGAAATCGGTTAGTAATGACAGGCCACTGGGCCACCTCCCTCACCCTGAGTCGCTCAAGCGGGGAGCGGAGGAGCTCCCGGCAGGGGGAACAGGGGAGGGCGGGCAGGCCTCAGAAGTTGTTATCGATGTTCCAGACGTCCCCGCTAAGCGCGTTGGCGGCCCCTTGCAGCGTCCAGGTGAGCAGGGCTAGCTGGCGCCGGAAGCGGCTCTCCTGGAAGCCCAGGCTGGGCGCCACCCCGGAAGAGGTGGCCCCAGGAGCCCCAGTGCCATTGATGCGCAGCAGCCGCAGGTGGTCGAGCAGGGCGCCCAGCGTGTGGTCTCCACGACCCAGGAAGATATGGCGGAACGGGGAGTCTGCTGGCGACACATACTGGGACAGGAAGTAGAATTCCACCTGCACCGAGAAGAGGATCAGGTTGGGGCAGGGGCTCTGTCCTGGGAGCAAAGGCCAGAGCCATCCCTGCTGCCTGCCAGCCGTTCCTAACGGAGCCTGGGACCTAGTACATGCTCAATAAATACGGTTGAGCAGTTCCTTAAGTCTCGCCTCCTTGGCTGTCCTATCAGGAATAGCCATAGTGCAATGTCACCAGTAGCTGGTTAGGATGTGTCCCCAAGCTGTGTTCTGGGCCCTAACATCTTTTCTCTCTCTCTAGAGCCCCCCAAGCCTGCATCTAGATCTCCCCAGACTTTCTTTGTCTCCCATTCACTTCCCTGCCCAAAGCTTCAAAGAACAATCTATTGTCCTCCTGTTCCCCTTCTTTTTTTTTTTTTTTTTGAGACAGAGTCTCGCTTTGTTGCCCGGGCTAGAGTGAGTGCCGTGGCGTCAGCCTAGCTCACAGCAACCTCAAACTCCTGGGCTCAAGCAATCCTACTGTCTCAGCCTCCCGAGTAGCTGGGACTACAGGCATGTGCCACCATGCCCGGCTAATTTTTTCTATATATATATTTTTTTAGTTGTCCAGATCATTTTTTTCTATTTTTTAGTAGAGACGAGGTCTCGCTCTCACTCAAGCTGGTCTCGAACTCCTGACCTTGAGCGATCCACCCGCCTCGGCCTCCCAGAGTGCCAGGATTACAGGCGTGAGCCACCTCGCTGTTCCACTTCTTAATACTCCACCTTACTACACCCAAGTCATTCTGCCACCTCCGCCACGCCACCATCTATAGCCCAGAGTCAAAGGCCAAGGGGATGGCCCAGTCCTAATGAAGCACCTGATTCTTCATTGTCACCCTCTGACCCAGAAGCTGTTCCCTCTTTCCTGAGATGGCCTCGCTCCTGGCCTAGTCTCCTCTTATCCTCTGCCAGCCTCTCTGGTTCCTTCCGCTCCCACCTGTAGGCAGGTGTTAAGGTCCCACCCCGCTCTGCTCTTCTCTGTACCTAGGGTCCAGTGGTTCCCAGCCCTGACTGCATATTAGAATCACTTAGGGAAAATTTTAAAAGTATCATTGTCTGGGCGCCAACCCCAGCAAAACCAAACCTCTAGGGGTGGTCTCAGATGCTGACGTCTTTTTAAGGCCTCCATCGTTCACTCACAGAGCTCATCCATGCCCCTGGCTTCAACCAGGACCTCTGTGGAGACAGCTGCCAAGTCTCCTCACCCAATCACCCACCAGGATCCTGCCCTCCAGCCTTCACAACCTCCCCACTGGGTTAGGGGGCACCTGGACCCAGTCTCACACATGTCGGCACGAGCCTCTTGCAAAACTGTGCCTTGAGCCCACACTCATGAGCACCATGGTCTTCCCCAGGTGCCAGGCACTCGATATGGAGGGGAAGTGAGAGTGGGGTGAGCAAAGGGTTTGGGGTAGACTGCCAAGTCTCTAATTTTGGCTCCCCCACTTACTAACTGTGTGATCTTGGGTAAGCAACTTAGCCTCTCTGAGCCGGTTGTGCATACAGTCCTAGCAACCTCCCAGGGACAGGAGGAGTCCTGTGGGGGAAAGTGAAGTAAAGCCCCTAGCACGTGGTAGCCCTCTATCTTTGGCAGCTGTGATCATTATTCTCCTACTCTTCCCTCAACACCCAGTTTGTCCACTTTTCCTTCCAAATGCCTCCCATCTGTCCAGTCCCCACCTACAGGCATTAGCTGCCGCCTGCCACCCGCACCCAGAACTCAGCCTTCATTAACTTCATTCCCTCTTCAGGCCATTTCCTCTCCGGCCAAAGTCCTCCCGCATCACCTTCCTGCTCAAAAACCTCCCTAACTTCCTAGATGCCAAGACCCTAAAAATCCATTCTTACCCTGGTGTTCAAGGCTCCCCACGGTTGATGCCTAACCCGCAATTTGGGGCTCCCCTCCCCTCTGCCTCTCCACGGGGCCTCTGTTCTGGCTCTGTTGGTCCACGCCCTGCTTCCAAGTAAAGCCAGGCCTATACAACTGCCACACCCTTATTCTGGGTCTCTCCACCCTGAAATGTCCTCTTTTCTTTGCACCAGCCCAAGTTCTGCTTGTTCTTCAAGATCCATGTCACAGTCTAAAACAGAGGTCAGCAAACTTTTTCTGCGAAAAGCCAGAGAGTAAACATTTTAGTCTCTGCAGGCCATACTTCTTCTATTGCAACTACTCAACGTTGCTGCTGTAGCACAAAAGCAGCCATAGATGATACGAAAACCAATCAGCATGGCTGTGTTGCAATAAAACTTTATTTACAAAAATAAGCAGCAGGCTGAATTTGGCCCGCTGGCATAGTTTACCAACCCCTGGTCTAGAGCTGCAAAGTTCCCTGGGTTTGGGCCTGCCCTGTGTTGCAGGCTCTGAAGTCCTGAGACCTTTCCTCTCCAGCCCTGAGCCTGAGTCATGCATCTTACACAGGTGCCCTTTATCCCAGGGCAGGGGGTGACTTTGGGAGAGGGGTAGTCTGTTTGTGTTCTGACACAGCAGACCAAGATCTGTGAATGGGGATGAAAGATGCCCAGTTTCTTGTCTTACCCCAGGGTCACATGTGCCTCAGTGGAGGGGACAAAGGGAAGGGGAGAATGTAAGGAGAAGGAGAGATAAGAAGGAGAGGAGGAGATTGAGGAGGAGGAGAGAACGAGAGAGACTAGGAGAAAGGAGTGAGGAAGAAAGAGCCAGAGGAACAGGTTTGACAATAGAAAGAAGGAATATGTGATGCCAAGGGAGACAGGCAGGGTTCCAAGCAGGAAAAAGCACAGAGCAGAAAGAGCACAAACCTCTAAGGGCAGACATGTTCTCTCTGAAAACCGTGAGTGCAAGTTCACACGTGGCTCAGTATGTACACTGTGGGTTCCCTGCTCCCCCAACATTCACAGAGGACTGTCCTGCTTACAATTTTGCTCTATAGACCTTTTCCCACGCACATTGTCCCTACCCACATATTTCCAGAGATCAAAGCATTGAAGGGTTGAGTTCTTAGGATAAGGAAATGGAAGGAAAAGGAAGAGGAGGGGTTGGAACTGGAGATAGGAGTAGGCTGCAAAGTATTCAAAGCTAAGCACGAGGGATCGTCGACGGAATAAGATCTTGTTTAACTTTCCCAGGACTCCTCCTCCAGGCAGCCTTTCTGGATTTCACCCATTTCATTACCAGAAGGAAGAGCTCTCCACACTGAATTTCTTTAGCCTTTTGGATCTCCTAGGCCGTAACCTTATGCCTCTTGTACTGTGAACCACTGGGGACATGCTTTTTCTCTCCAGAGGTGTGGGGGAGGCAGTGGGAGCTGTGGGACAGGAGTCGGGGGTCTGTCCCAGTTCTGCTAGGCGTTTCCCAGGCGACAGTGGCAAAGGGGCGCCCCCTCCCTGTCCATTTCATCACTTTGCAGGGCCTGTCTCAAGGATGGCTGTGAGCATTGAATGTCCAGGACCGGCAGCGCCCTGAGGACAGGGCCTGGTCAGCGGAAGCAAGGCGGAGGGAGGGAACCAAGCACCGGAGGCGCGGCGGCTGGGGCGGGGCCTCACCCGCATGATGCGCACGTTGTACATGCGCATTAGCCGCTCGTCGCCTGGCTCCGAGCTGTAGATCTCTTGCCGCAGCTTCTCCGCCGCCCGGAAGAAGTCCCCTCGCGCCGAGTACACCCACTGCAGAGTCAGCCCGCGGGCCTGAGGGCGGAGGCGCGGGCTGGGGCCGGCGACAGGAGCCAAGACCCCGGCCTAGGATGGGTGAAGGTGCTGGGGCACGGGGCTGGGACCCTGGGCCTGGCAAGAGGTCCAGAGTGCTGGGGGCGGGATGAAGGGGGAGAAGACCCTGCACCTGTGCAGTTGGGGGAGGCCCATCCCGGGGGCTGGGGAGGGTACCAGCTTCATCCCAGGAGCTTAGAAGACTGGAGGCAGGAGGAACAGGGCCAGGTTGCCAGAGGGGACCTAGATCCCGGGGATTGCAGGGTGAAGGGGCCGGACCCCCTGGCCTGGCCACACTCTAAGGGGATATAGCGCCCCCCACCCCCATGGTTGGGAGCGGGGCTGGCCTCTTGGACCTTGAGGTCCCCAGAGTACTCGTTGAGGCTGCCGATGTGCCTGAGGACCACGTCTCCGTAGCGGCCGAAGTCGAGGGGCAGCAAGTGATCATGGCTGAGCCGGATGAGGAGTTGCCCAGCGAGCTGGGCCACAGCCTGGGCCACGGCGGGCAGGCGGCCTCGCAGCATCTTGTGCAGGTTCTCGTAAGTGTCCTCCTTTGTGTGCAGGAACGGGTACGCCTGGTCATCCTGCAGGGACAGTGCGGGGCTGGGGCAGCGGCAGGCAGGCTGGGGGACTGGCACTCTGTCTGGGGCAGAGTGGGGAAGTCTCACCTCCATGAAGGAGAATTCAACGGCAGGGACCCCCACAAAGGCCGTGAAGGAGTAGGCACTGCTGTCCATGGGCAGGGGCCGGATCCTGGGGGCAGGTGGGTGGGAGGGCTCTGTGGGCTCAGGCTCCCCCACACCCACCCAGGTCCCCCATGGCCCAAACTTACACCTCAGCATCCCAGCTGGGATTGGTGAATACCACCTGCTCATAGATCGTCTGCTCACTGTGGTTAGGGGAATCCACCTGGGGGGAGGTAGGGGAAGGGGTCAGGCCCCACCCGCGCCAGCTTCCCCCCATCCCCTGTTCCTGGTGGGACTCTTGCCTGCTTCAGGATGTTCTCAATGAGGCTGATCAGAAGGGGGCTGGTCTTGGCCTGGAACTTGTCATCCCCTGGAGAGAGGGGAAGGGGGGATGCCAGGATCAGGGCTTAGCCCCAGGGCCGAGGGTGGACTCTGAGGGGTACAAGGGGTGGCATTGCCCTGGCTCACCTAGCACTGCATTGTCCAGGCTCACATATGCCACGGCCTTGAGGTGCAGCACGCTGAGGTAGCCCTGTGTGTGGGTGAAGAATGCGGAGAATGGACCCACCCCCACCTCTCCCCGCTGCCCAACCACCTGCCCAGGGCCCCATATCACCTCCAGCCACTCCGTGGAGCCCACGCTCCCAAAGTCGCCTCCATCCCAGCTGATGAAGAGAAGACTCCTGCGGGGCCGAAAGCCTGGGGGCAGAAGGGGAGGGACTGTGGGCTCCCTCTTTGTCTTCCCCTGTCCTGGTCCCCCTGGGGTCACTCCTTCCCTCAAACCCCAATCCCAAGGCTGGGCGCAGTGGCTCACGCCTGTAATCCTAGCACTCTGGGAGGCTGAGGCGGGTGGATCGCTCAAGGTCAGGAGTTCAAGAGCAGCCTGAGCAAGAGCGAGACCCCCGTATCTACTAAAAATAGAAAAAAATTAGCCAGACAACTAAAAATACATAGAAAAAATTAGCTGGGCATGGTGGCGCATGCCTGTAGTCCCAGCTACCCGGGAGGCTGAGGCAGGAGGATTGCTTGAGCCCAGGAGTTTGAGGTTGCTGTGAGCTAGG